AATCAACAAAAAATCTACAACTACAATGAAGTTGTAACGTTTATCTGCTTCGGGTCGAAAGATCTACATCTATAAAAGTACATAAATCATATCAAGTTGAATTTTCCAATAGCCATGTTTCTACCACACCGGAGCATAGAGGAATTTGTAAAATGACACCAAATAAAGATTTATAGAATAAACACTGTACCAATAATCTGTTATTAAGTTTTGTACCTTAACTTTAGGGGGGAACCACGTTAAAGATGAAAAAAAACGGAATAAAAGCTGGTCGACTATGATGTTATGTTATGGGCTATGATGTTTTTGAATTATTCATACACAATGGTTAATTAAACAAATTTCAATTAATATTAGAATACAACATATATTAAGCCCAAAGTACAATGATTTGAAGATAAATATACACATTTATAATAATCAATGTTCAAAAAAAAAAAAAAAGATGTGCTTTGCAAACTGCAAAAGCACATCTCGATTGAACAAAACATATGTGAGGTATGTGTATATTCAAAATGGTAAAATAAGTAATATATATATAAATATATTGTGCGAGTAAATAATATAACATTATCAATGAAATATGCGACAATGAACAAGTAAGATACTAATGAACGAAATTAAAGAATATAAATGATAAGATTTTGTACAAATTACCATACACAGTGAACAAGGTTAACGACAACAAATATTCTCCACTCATGATTTGATAACCAGAGCCAAAAAGTTAAGTTAGAATGCCATTGTGAGACGTTAAAATCATGTTTCGATTATAAAATTGAGAGTTCAGTTTAACTAAAGAATCAGGTTTTGTTTCATAACTAGTATCGATTATTCAAATATCGTTTAAATTCAATAATAAGTTTACGAATAACACAGTAAATCGTTAATTATATTAGAAAAAGAAAACTAATTATCCTAAAAGCTACTCAATGAAATCTTTGAGTAATTCCTTTCTGACTACTTATTTAGTCTTCGACTTTTAAAATAAAGTACATAAAAGATAATTTAAAATTGTTTTAATCAATAATCTGACATATTACTTAATTTTAATTAAAATATTTACTTACTTAATTAAGTACTAAAGTACTTAATTAAAAAAATAGTTGATCACTCTACCATTTACTTTGATTGAAATAAAAATTACTGTTGTCTTTGCTAAAATTGAAATATAAATTAACAGAATTTTGAATTTTAACAATTTTAATTTTAATAGTTATAATTATTTGAGAAAAGTATTTTATATTCCTATAATAGTTTTTTAATGTAAGTATAAAAAATGTGTAATATATTTCGCTTTATAAAATGTATTTTCTTAAAACCTATAAATAAATTTTTGGATAAGTCTCCATATAAACAAAATAATAATTAGATAAATTTTTTTTTTGAGAAAAAAAGCTTATAAATTATCAAAAAACTTTCCAAGAAAAAAGAAAAAGATGCCATAATATATTAAAAAATAATACTAATAAGTTTTAGTGTCTTAAGGGATCTTAACTTCGATATTACCTTTCTGTTTGCGCTTATACAATTTAAGTAACACTTAAAGAGTTTTATTCAATTTACACAAAATCCGTTCTTTTAACGGATTTTGTTTTTATTGTTACAATTGATAACTAATCGTATTTTATTTTATTTTTTATATCAATTTTTAAAATGTTTCAATGTTATTTTAACATTTTAGAGAATAGGGTATGAATATTTTATGTACTTGTTTTTTGTACAATAGCATATTCTTTAAGCTAAGCTTGATAGATAGATTAAAATGATTCTCGATATTTTGCTATAAAATAAAGTAGATATCGGTATTTTTGTTATATTTATATCAAAGGTAAAATACTAAAAGATGTATTATTATAATATTGCAAGATGAACAATAATATATAATCCTATTAAAGCTAAACATTTTATTTATTTTTTGTAATTTTTATAGCTATATTTAATCTCTACATTTTTTAGTAGAAAATGATAGACATATATATATATATATAAATAAATAGAATATCTATTTGCATATATTATAAATACTTAGACTAGGGACGAACTTTTTTGATTTTAAATAACATATTCTCGTGGTGGGTATAACTCTTTAAACATGAGCGTTAGCACAGAAAGGAAATGGGAGTTTTATTCTTTACATGTCTGCAATGTTTTCGATAGAATTATTTTGTGACACCTTTCAATAAGTACATTAAGTAAAAATAGTTGTAATATAAAATAACTATACCAATAAAATTCTTCAAAACGAAAATACATTAATGAAATGAGCGCGTTGCTTGATGATCCGAAATAAATTCGAATCTAAAATTTAAGTCACTTGGTTGACGTGATAAAAGTTAAACTATTGTTACTAAAGCTGGGTGTGATCATTAAAGAAGATTCAGTGTCTATAGAGCTTAACATTGTTTGGTTGGAACTTGGCGACTTAAGTGTATTAGTACTTAAATATATTTTAGGTGTTTGTAGATAATCAATAATGATTGTCTACGGATTCTCTAATTGCCATTGAGTGATATTCTTTTATGTAGTCTTTAGTGATAATCAGAAAAGAACACATAACTAACTTCATTTTCGTTATATTTTTTTAAAGTATCTAGTTAGACACTTTTAAAAAATAATATTGATAATAATTTCTATTTGAATTAAGACAAACATAGAGGTAAGAGAAATATTTCTAATGTGATACTATTTGGTAAACAATTATACAGGTTGTTCAGTAAGTCAGGAAACGGGTATCTATTGTTCTCATTGTTACAAACAATGAGAACAATAGAAACTCGTTTCCTGACTTACTGAACACCCTGTATACATTTATTGTGGTAATGTTAACAATTAAAGTTGAGTACATGTTTTCTTATTCTTTTGTTTTTCTATTATAAAATATATTCTTAAAAAGAATAAATATTTCATTTTTGTATATATATTTAAAAAAAAATCCTCCTCAACATGTTTTTATAACAAAAATAGTTTACCAATATTTAGAAAAATATTAATTTTTCAATGCACTGCTTACTTTGCTATTATTATATAAAAATAAATCTTTATTATATTTAAGATCAACATTTTATTGCAATAATAGTTTTGCAATGAGCTGAAAAATAGAGAAAAACAATATAATAATAATATGTCATGTGTTATGTGTTATGTGTTATTACCTACAAATGGCTTTGACAAAACAAAGAAATAAAATATATTCTCAGTCACTTTTAAAAATCACCAGGGATTTTTTTTTATTACTTTGTACCGCACAGTGAGGCTTATTTATGAGAAATAACATGAAAAGTAAGTCATCTTAGAAGATATAGTGCTAATATGTTTTCGTTTACAATGTAAACATTTTCAAAAACATAAGTCATCTTACTTTCATTAATTTCACATATGAAATCTCTAAATTCATGAAAAATTTCAATGTATCAACAAAATATAATATTAATAATAATTTAAACGTTCTTATATCTATGCGGGAGGAAGAATGACGACTAGAAATGTCTAGTGATATAAAAAGTAGCATTCACATCTCACCACCACTTTAAATTGTTAATAACTTCTAAAATACTGGTCAAAAGTTATTATCGGCCAGTCATTTACTTAATTATTTCATTAAATTCATCTAATAAATAAATTAGTTATATATAAATGTATACTTTCCCATTTTAAAAATTGAAGTTGACACCCTTATAAAGTACATGTGAATAATATAAAAATTACTTCATAACTGATAAATAAAGAAAATTATGTAATTAAAATAAACCAACAATAAAATTGATAAATATATTTTTATTTTTAATTACTTATGTAGCCAATAATAAAATAATTATTCCATACAAAGGTTGAATTAGATTTGATTGGATTTATTACAAGGGGCGTTCCACAATCGTTTGATAAATCTACTAACTTTAGAATATACTGACGTATGTATTACATTCCTTTTTTTAAAAAAATTCTTACAATATTGGATTAAAATTATATTTTTTACTATGTTTAGTTACATACATTTAAATACATAGACTGGTTATATAATGCGGGTGGATACAGTTTTTACTGGTGTATATTTATCATGCATACTTCACTTGAGTTACGCACATACTCTATGTATAAAAATGCTTGTAACTCATAAATATTTATCCTTTTATCCTATTTATCCTTAAGTTGTTATCGACCCATCAAAACTTGTTGAAAGGAAATGAATAATGGTTATTTAAAAATGTTGAAAAAATTTAAAATTAAAAAAAATATATTATTTTTATTAATAAACACTATACTTTTAATATAGTCTAAGAATGTATAAATTCTTAAAAAAAAAAGTAATGAAAAATATTTACTGGATCAAAAGTTTTTTATTTGTCAAAACATCGTGGACAACCCAACCAGACATGTAAAGGGTGATTTTTTTTAACTTTAGCCACTCGATTTTTCTTAAAATAATAATTATTGTATATATTTTTGGTATATTTGAATGTCAGTTATTAGTAACTATTTACAATGATCACTTTTAATTTTTAAGGATGTGAAATTTATTTTTTCAATTAAATTAATTAATTGATAGTAACATTGAAAGTAATTAATAATTTTATACCTAGTCAGCAGGTGAATTGCGACCTAGATATATCTAATGACAAATGCTGTCATAATTTTGTCCCAGTTCCAGTCTATTGTTTGAAGTGGTTATAAGTTAATGAGTCAACTGCTTTTTACGAACAGTTTCATAATTAGATAATTTTTTTTATTTTATAAGCTAGTTAAATGTGTTTGTTGTCGTTTGAATAAATTAAGTTCACATCCTTATTTGGTATGAGGAATGAATTACATGAAACTAATAAATACCATAATTGATTTTGTTAACATATAATATTATATTAAGAGAAATTAAAAAATCACATATTACACATATTTTGAGAAAATTTCGGAGGGTTTCCGAACCCCTTGTCCCCCCCTCAGATATAGCCTTTCTTCAAATTCTTACGAAAAATATTTTATAATATGTTTTATATAATTTTTAGGAAAGGTTCAGAGTTGAAGCTGACGTCGCTGTAAATAGGGCAAATATGTTGACCAGGCTGTGGAAGTACGCGGGTCATGAAGTAATGAATTCTGAATATCTGCTACATGCCGGAGTTATATCAATGGTTGAATTCGACGATGACATATTTGCTGCTGGCAATTGTTACGATCAAAACCAATACAAAGACTATCAGTTGTTTTGTCCTTATGCATACAGACTGCCTAAAGAAGAAGGCATACTGGCAAAAGATCTGGCTGTTGAGTATAAATACTTGACTAACACCAGTGAATGGTTTTATATCGCCCGAAAAACAGCGGAGTCGGTGATTAATCGAAATAGTCAATATAAGCACGGTAAACGATAAAAAATAAAATTTAAAGGTTATTTATGAAATAATATATACCAATTTTGAACCTATAGCCTAAATTATTATTCGTCTTTATATTATTCTTTAGAGTCATTAAAAGAAAATACTACCGACCCATCATTAATTAAAGCTTTTATACTTAATAGTCTTTTTCAAGTTATGGTTTTTGTTTACTACTATATTTAGATCGATATGACCGTTTGGAACGTTCAGGTACCGTTTGTCATAAATGATACAACAATGCATACGATTTTTTTTTTTATTGCTGTTTATTTTTTAGTGTAAAATTACAGTAAGCGGAACGTTTTACAGTATATGGTTACTTTTGATAGTAGAATTGTCGCTTAACTACATAAAAGTTATAGGTATTTTATTATGCCGAATATTTCATAATATTAATTTACTTAGTTAAAATAAAGAAACTATAAAATCAGCGATTTAGTATAAAACTCACGTTTTTACCAGTTCTTTTTTATTACTCAAGTGATCCCTGTAATTTACATAACTATAAAATATAATTTTTCATTTTTATTATGTGTAATATACTATTTAGATAAAAATTGATATTTTCAGCGAAAAGTTACTGATAAATTATAAGATTTAAATATATTGTTCAATAAAAACAATATGCCATCAGTGTTTCATTTAAAATTACCTTTAATAGGTAATTTAACAGCGTGACCTTTCTAGTAAGATAAAGAAACTAACATTTTTATGCAAGTTAGTTTGAGTAGAACCATTTCATCAGATTATCCATTGTGAATATAAATTGAACCCATAAATATCAAATGATTTTAGAAATTCCATGGATGTTTTCTTGAATTTTATTGGCTCAACTTAAAGTATGGTAATAATGTAGTAATAAACTAATTGATAGTTTATTACAAAGCCATTCATTTTATATCTTAAAAGAAAAAACGCTATTAAAATATTTCACTAAATTTTGTCAATCAATCGATAAAAATTAGTGTCTTACAAGAAATTAGGATTAAAATTGATCAGACATGATTAAAAATATCTCTTTTATAAACGATATTAAATACAATCTGAAAAAATGAAATTTAAGTTGATAAATCTTAATATTATCGAAGTGCACTAAGTAACTTTAATTATTCAAGTGTTTTCTAATTTGAAAATTAAATATTTTTTAGTAGATATCGTTTTTTGTTTATATAATACCAAGTACATTATCTAAAATGTAGATACTTTTAATTAATTAGTTGAATTATATTGTAATATGAACATCGCAGTTATATAATTAATGGTTGAAATAAATTAAACAAGTTCTTTTAAAATTATTATATTGTTTCAGTAGACAAAATTGTTTTGTATTTAAGTTTGGAAATGATAATGTGTGTTTCTGTCATATTAAAAATCTTTTAATCATTTTAAGAATTGAATCTGTAGGCTAAATGTTGCGTTTTAGTATTGAATAAAGTTTCTTGGGTAATATAAGTTTTTTAAAATGTACTATCATATTTCAAGAAAGGTAAAATAACGTATTAAAAATAATTTATCTATTCATCTAGAGATGAAGTACAAAAGTCTAATGCGTGCCAATTTTATGACTTGGAAACATAAGATATCCTACATAAGATATTTCTGCAATGTTTGGCGATGCTTAAAATGAATCTTTTAAGAAATATTAAATTGTAATATTAGAATAATTTTTTTTTGTTTTATAGTGATTTAACATTAATTTTTTGGTTGTTAATAGGTGTATTGCGTATTATTCTCTGTATTCATTTTTCTAATCTAATTAAATGAGATAAATAACTTAATGGTAATTATTTAAGTTTGATAAAATCATAATAATTAATTTTATTGAAATCTTCTTTGTGAAAATCTATAAAAATTTCATATATTAAAATTATTAATTGTTCCGCCAATAAATACTATAACAATGATTTTGACTTCTAGATAAATTTTTTGAATTTTTTTTAATAATGTATTACATTATTACATTGATGTCTTCGAGATTAAAAAAAAAAAAATGTTGAAAGTTTATTTTTTGATAAAACAAGAAAAAAATTTGACTTTTTCTATTTGTCTAAGATTAAGCGATTGACGAATTTACGAAAATATACGCAAAAGGAAATTTTTCTCGTTTGATTTTTGCTTTCTTAAATTTAAGGTTGTTCACAAAGGTCGAATGTTTACCTCAAAAAGATTAGTTTTAGACATAGCGTTGTAAACGTTGTGTCTTCATCATTATATATCATTATATCATTATTGTGTCATTACATAATGACCATCCTTATACCTATAAAAGACAAGATGAGAATATTTTTTATAAGTTTAAAATTAATAGTAGCCGTTTTCCTTATTTATTAAATAAAACAATTTATAGTTAGAAAATCTATTGTTTATAACAACAAATGTGTTTAAAAGCATTCATGCAATTAAATTTTTTATTTAAAGAACGTATATTTTTTTAGCTCAGAAATTTAATCAATAGTGTATTTTTAGTAAGTTTTAAAATTTTATTCATAAAATATTTCTAAAGATGTATTGTAATATACCTCCATCCTAGTTAGTATGTCCTCGTGAATTTTACACTTTTAAAATTATATACAAGTTCGTTTTATTATTTTATTTTTTTAAGCATAGCTAAATAAGAAGTACACCTATTACTATAATAAATTATATATTGCGATAAAAAAAAATTATCGAACATTAATTATAATTTATTACCAAAAATAAATTAAATTTTGGACGTGACTTGTGTACAAGTAAGTTTTTATACTTCCTGTATTGTGAACAAGTATAATAAATATATCATCCTTATTCTATCTTTCAAAATCTCGTTATTATTATTATTAATTTATCAATAATAGATTTCTCATTTGAAATGTTATAAAGTTTGTCCGTTTCGTGAAAGTACAATGAAATTTAATACAATTGAAAAGTTGATTTATTTAAATAAGATTTTTTCAAATTTTTAAGAAAGTTATATAATTTATATAGTAACATGCATTTTTAACCTTTTTTAATTTTTCGATGAGATAGTTAATTTATTTATTGATCAATAAAATAAATTTCTGTATATATATACAAACAGAATATGTATAAACATATATGTATATGTATTATTCTCAGTAATTGAAATTACTACATTTAAAGTATTGTAATGTTACAGTAAAATGCAGAAAAAAATGAAGTCTGCTCTAATTTTTGTTACTTTTTCAAACATTTAATTCTGCTTAGTACTTTTTTTAAAGAGGATTTCTTCGAATTTACAAAAAAAAAGAACAATTTTTTTTAAATAACGAACCATTTACGTATTAGATTTTCATAAATGTACACAAGACAGTAACAGTACCAAGAGTGGTGTATAGTTGATTTTATATCAGGTTACTTCCTGTTAAAGTTCTGTCGCTGTCATTACTACAGTAAATAACTCAAAATCTTATTTTGCATTATTGTTTAAATATATTGTTATTAATATGTGCAATAATAATATTAATTAAATTTTTAAAAAAGTGAGTTGAATGTATTTAAAAGATTTGTTAAAAATTTAATATATTAATATAGTTTTTGAAAATAATTGACTGGTAGTTGATAGATTTATCACAGATTAATCACGGATATAATTATAAACAAAGATTTATTTTAATAGTTGGATATTTCACTTGTGAATAACGTCAAAATTAAATGATAGGGCATATTATCATAAATACCTAACTTATTGTTGAAATTGGCAACACTAAAATTTTGTAAAAATACTTGTAAAATTCTAAAATCAAAGTAAATATACACTTGTACATAAATTATTGAAATAAAATGAATAATGAATAAATTCTATTGAACTTAACACAAAAAAAATTTTACTTAAGAAATCTTTATTTAATGATAAGTTGTAATTCATCGATTTTTCTATTACAAATTATTTATTAATAAATGAAATTAAGTAAATAAAAAATTCTTATAGATAGAGTTCATAAATACCTGGAGTACTATAATTATTTGAAATAACACTTACTAGTTTAGAATCTTATTTCTGTTATTTTTTCGACTAAACATTATTAATACACTATATTTTTACTATTTCTTTTTTATGTCAAGACGAATAAAAAAAAATAGTATAATAACGCTATATCGTTGAAAAGAAAATATTAAGTAAACATATCAACTCGCAATTTGTAATTTGTAAATTATCTAGACAAATAATTATTTATTTAACTTAACTTTATGATATTGTAATTTATATAATTTTTGATAAATATATTCTTGAAATGTATGAAAAAAACAAAACCATTCTCAGTAGTAATTTGTTTGTTATTTAGTTTTAAAAAATGTTTTAATAAAATCTTCCTTTGTTACTATTTGTAACAATGTATACTCAACAGTCATCCAAGAACTTAAATGATATCAAAAAGAATTGTCTCTGCATAAAATGTTATCATATTAAATATTTCGTTCACAAATGAGATATAATTCAACTTAAATTGTTTTCGAGTTTCGTTATAATTTACACAAATTTTTGTCAATTACAATAATATAAACATAGATTGGTAGTAATTCACACATCTCTGGACATTTGTCAACTCTGAATATATTTCATTCAATAAAATAGCACAATTCAACAGAAACGTTCCTTACACAATACGACTTTTTGTTTATTTTCAACATGATATTATGAATATTTCATTATAACTGAATGTTGTATCTTAAAAGTACCTTGTTTTGAAAACAATAACTATCATTACGTATTTGCTACCAGAGAAGATATTGAAGCTCAGAATAGATGAGTCAAGACAGTAACACGTAACTAGGATCCCCAGGCAAACATGAAACCACATAACTGCTGTGACAATTCAAAAAACCTATTCTTTTATAGAGAAATATAAAAGTCTAAATCGTGCTGAGAAATAGCATTAAAATTGTTATTTTATTGACATTAAGGGTTTAACTATGTATAAGCTTTAAAAATGCAAAATAAAAATACACGGATGTTGAGAGGGTCTATATTATTTGCCGCGCAGC